TATAATGAATTAATTATATACGGTATAATTATTATAATTATGTTGTTATAATTAAAATATAATTGAATAAAAATATAAATAAAAATAAAATTATAGTGTCATATGGTGTGAGACTCAATTAAAATAGTAAGGAAAATGTGTCTAGAAGTGTAATATGGTCTTAAAATTGTATAATTATACAGAAGGCATGGAAACATTCAATTCCATAAAAATTATTGCAAGGATTTTCTGAGAGGTATAGTTTTCAGCCTCAGTGTGTTGCTGTTTAAGCAGCGTATTTTTTAAGTATTTCTACTGTATAGAAAAAGCAGTTGTTAAAGAAGAGAGCTTTTTGCCACTGTGTTTAGCTGCAACTTTTTGCACATCAGTCCAACTGGCTATGAAACTGTGCAAATCAAAAATGCAAACCGGAGGAAAACATGTCCAAAAATACTATTTATGATGCATTTCTTTCCCTCCACAGTGAAGGAGACACTGGACTCCGAGCTTACTACTGGAATATGTTCTGGGCCCCAGAAGATATGATTTCTTCTCTTAAAAAATTAACCCCGGTGGAACAAAAAGAAATCAGCAGTAAACAAGCAGCTCACATGTTCAGTCCTTCTAGGGAGGAAGATTTTGATCTTGTTACAATGGAGCTTTTTGGTAACAATGTACCTGTCATTTAATACCTATTCTATCTATTTTTTTTTTCTCCAGTTTGTGTCTTTGGCTTGTGTAGCCAATCATTGTTAAATTTCAGTTTCAGATTCCACAGAATATGATGTGATGCTAAAATCAGGTAATTTTTCTTCAATCTCAACTAATATTACTTCGGGGGAAAAAAAAAAAAATCTCATAACTTAAAAATGGCAGTTTCCCAGTTATTCTTCTATCTGTAGGGCCTATGAACTAAACCAGACTCGGGACCTCCCTGGCCTGTGCTTCAAATAAAGGCCAAGATGAAAATGCATTACAGCTCTTATTCTAATGTTCTGACTAGAATGGCTGAAATTTAATAGTTCCCACTGAATAGCAATGAGCTGTGGCTCCTTTTCTTGGTATCTTTTAAAAACCTACTATACAAAATGATATAGAATTTGTCTTGTGACTAGATAATTTTGTTTATTCATATTTGTGATCAGTCAAATACTGCAGCACTTAAATTCACTTTGCCTGGTTTCTCCATATCAAGCACACCTCAAGATTGGCTTCATATTCTTAGTGTTCTCATTGCATGAAAAGGGGTGAAGAGAAAATGGGAAAGAAGGTAGTAGGTTTCAAGCAGAGATGGTAACAGCTGCAGCCAAGGCCCTTCTTGCTTGCTGTGTATGATGAGCAGATGGTGGCGAGGTATTGTGCTTCCTTGGCCAGAGCAGGAGGAGAATATGATGCAGTCTGGTACAGAAAAGGGAATAGAGTTGTAAAGGTGAGGGAAGAGAAGATTAGGGTAGTTGAGAAGTTCAGGTAGGCGGTTGTTGCTGCTTCTTCTGAAATTTTACCCAATCAATTAATTTATCTTTCAATTTAACAGTTTATCAGCCACTGATCTAGCTTCTTTTGTGTAGCAGTATCCTTTGACCTGTATGCCAAGCCAGGTAACAACAGGACTCTAACTCTGATGAATCCCAAAAAGTCTTTTTATCAATGGAGGCTGCGAGTTCCTTCGAACTATGTGGTGAGACTGGTGGTTATCACTTTGCATGGTGTCACTCCAGAGAGCTGTGCATCGCACCACTTATCAGCATACGATTTCCTTCTTCCTCTGCAGAACAAGATCATTATGAGGTATGATAATACAGGTAAAAAGTTTTTTATTGAGCTGTACAGAAACCCTCTGAAACTCTTGTGATATCAAAATGAGATCAAACAGGCTTCCAAAATGTAAGATTCCAAATACAGCTTAATTAAAACACTTGTATAAAGCTATAAAAAGGTCTTCCATGTTGTTTTTCCCCACAATGAATTATAAATTCTTGTGGGTTTTATTCTACACTGTGACTAATTTTTACTGGTTTTGATTTCATGCGGTTACTGTTACAACTCAAAAAGATACAGACTTTATTTTTTTAGAGTATTATATTCAATTGCTTTTAAAAAACACATGTTTCAAAGCAGCCGGGTCACAGGAAAATCCTGTTCATAACAGAGCTGGCGTCTCTATGGAAGGCTTCATCCCAAGCCACTTTGTAGCCTGTTTACATGTAAGTAAGATCAGATGATCTTGTAACCTTCAGCAGCCACACTGCTCCCACTTTCTAGAGTTAAATTTCATGTGTGAACACATTATCTACCATGAACCTGTCTTCATTAACAAAATAAACAAGCAAGCAAGTTTTAGAATCTGGAGATGGATGGTTTTGGGGGTGGGGGAGAGATTTTGGGTTTTAGGAAGAGGCTAGCTGAGTATGCAGATTCAGTTAGCAGTGCCTGAAATGTATTTATTTAGCAGTGCTTTAACTTACTTGAAACTAGTAGGTGGTCATCTTCACCTCTATTAACAGATGTCTCTCCCTCCCTATGCAACCAGCCACAAGAGCTTGCCTTTGTTGGTGGACTGTCAGAAGGCCAGTCGTGGAGAGAGCACAGGGTTTTTGTAAGGAGTTAGATTGTAGCATAACATGGAGAATCCCATTCCTGATGCTGGATTGCATCTGCTCTGCTGCTGATTATGGGTTATGGCCAGGACTGTTGTTCCATTGTGCGTTATTAGTAATGACTCAGCTTTTTTAGGAACTGGAAATGTAGAGTCGGCCACGTGCATGGAAAAACCAGGAAGCTGGCAAAACCGTAATAGATGTAAGACGTAACATGTTCAGAGAACATTGATACAGTAGTAAGCTGTAAGACAAAGTTCAAGAAAGTGCATTGATATCTGGCTATCAAAAAACTGGAACAGAATTTGGTGACTGAAATGATGTTAAAAGCCCTATGGTACCTCCAAAAATGTTGGCTTTTTTGGTTACTTTTATTGCTAGCCTAGCAAATGTGTGGGTTTGCATATACCTATCAATTTTCTGCTTAAGCTAAAAGCAGCTAGTCACATACTTAGGACAGATGTAGTAGAACTAATAACATCATCTTTGATATCCATGACAGTCAGGAATTGTTGTGTTATAACCATTATTCCCTGACGTCCAGGTCTAGGGTCACACATGGTGACTAAAATAATTCTCACCAGTTCTCGTAAGCTGTAGTAATACAGCTGCTCAGTGTCAGATACTAAGGAGCGAATGAGCTGAGGTTGTGAGATGTACTGTAAAAGCAAGTGTCTCATGTGGACAACTCTTCTCTTATGCACTTGCCTTGCTTACTAGATGATCTTTGAGGTCCCTTCCAACCCTAACCATCCTGATGATGCTGTGACAAAAGGGACAGCTAGAAGATAAACGAGGCTGTCAACTGTGTAGAAGATCAAGATACTGAAAGATTTCCACATAGCAGTGGGGAGGGCACTCAAAATGTCCATTTTATAAAGGATTTGACAAGTATTTCGATAAAAAGGATTTAATAATGTCTATAAAAGAAGCAAACCACAGATCCATTGTGTAGTGTCTTGCATGAAATGGGAGGAGAGAATAGCCTGCTGAAAGCAGAAGAGGACTACTTTCAGTTTAAGGTTCACAAGTTTGATTTTAATGCTGCCACTCTGGATCTTAGCGACAAGCCGAAGAACTTAATGCAGGAATGACAGAAATACTCTCCTACTGTGACGTCTGATCTTAATTGTTTTATTACTGTGCATAGAAAAAGAGAAAGCTGTTAGAAATTTTCACATGCAGATTTGTAAATTAGTGAAAAGAAATCCAAAATACACTGTGGATTTCAAAATGGAATAAATATAAAAGTGAGTTTACATGCGTAAGAAATAGCATCTCAAGTTACAAGTGACAGTAAGTATTCAAGCTGCAAGATATAAACTAACTTCTCATTATCAAACAAAAGAACAATAAGAAGAAATATTTGCCATGCATGGGGCTCCACATCTTGTGTGACAGCTTTTGTGACAAGAAACCAAGCTGAATGTTATTAGTTTGGAAATGCAGTGGGCTTGTTTTCTGTTGCATAGATGCTGCACAACACTGCTGCACTGGCACTTGCTGCCTTTTCAGTGCCACCCACTACTGCTCAGTACCACTGTCACTACGGCAGTAACATAATCTGGTACTGCTTTTCTGATGCTTCTACAGGTCTGAAAACTACAGGGCACCTACTAGGCAAGAATATCTGTGATGTTCGCTCTGAGTGACAGCCTCAATGCTGGGAAACTCTAGCGTCTTGTGTAGTATCAACTAGGCGGAAGAATAAAAGGGAAGTGGTAGCCAGGGGAATACTTCTGAAACACAGATGACCAGATCAGTGTTATTTCTGCCCAATTTCTCAGCAAAGATGACTGGAATATGGGAAGTGTGGTTGTTTTTGTTTTTTTTTAATGCAGTCTTTGTAATCATAGAATGGCATAGGCTGGAAGGGACCTTAGAGATCATCTAATCCAACCTCCCTGTCATGGGCAGGGACGTCTCTCAACTAGATCAGGCTACTCAAGGCTCTGTCCAACTTGGCCTTGAACACCTCCAGGGAGGGAGCATCCACAACTTCTCTGGGTAATTTGTTCCAAAGTCTTACCACCCTCGTACTGAAGAGTTTCTTCCTAAGATCTAATCTAAATCTGTTCTCCTTCAACTTAAACCCATTTCCCTTTGTCCTATCAGTGGACACTCTTGTAAAAAGTCCCTCCCCAGCCTTCCTGTAGGTTCCCTTCAGGTATTGGAAGGCGGCTATTAGGTCCCCCCAAAGTCTTCTCTTTTCAAGGCTGAACAATCCCAGCTCCCGCAATCTGTCCTCGTAGCAGAGGTGTTCCAGCCCCTGGATCATCTTTGTGGCCCTCCTCTGAACACGCTCCAACAAATCTGTGTCTCTCTTATGGTGGGGACACCAGAACTGGACGCAGTATTCGAGGTGGGGTCTCACAAGAGCAGAGTAAAGGGGGAGAATCACCTCTCTTGACCTGCTGACCATGCTTCTCTTGATACATCCCAGGATGCAGTTGGCCTTCTGGGCTGCATGAGCACACTGCTGGCTCATGTTGAGCTTCTCATCTATAAACACCCCCAAATCCTTCTTTTCATGTCTCAGATGGTGCGGACCTGGGGCTTGGACTCCTGTTGTACGTTTAACTTCGTCAAGTAATGTAATGTTGCTTACCTTCTCACTGGACCGAAGAGAAGAAAGCAACGTATTAAAAGCTCACTTTCAAGCCATTCCTAAAATCAGTAAGTAATTAATAGAAACGACCATCAGATGTCAGCACGCTTATTCCTCTTGTTGCCTCTAAAAGACATGATATTGCCTGAACGTATCTGGGAGGAGGGAATGTTGGCATATAAGTCAGAAAATTGTCATTCTGAGCCACGTAAAAAAAAAGTCTGAGAACTGAACAAAAGATAGAGAATATCCTTTAGTCTGGGAGATATTTTTTGTCTTCCCTATTACTACCTAAGCCACCTTTCCCAGGTGTTACTCATATTACACAGGTAACACTGTTATTCATGAGCAATGGTAGCAGAGCGGCCAGCCAGATACAGGCACTCTATGTCTAGCCAAAGCTAGATATCCTCAGTGGTAGAGCAGCACTTTTATCAGTTTTGACCATCTGTCCCCAGCTCAGGGAATGAAAATGGAAACAAGAGCAAATACTTCCTTCCAATATATCTTTGATTCTTTTCTGAAAATGCTGTTCAGGATAGTAAACTGTATAAAAAAGGTATGTTCAAGACCTGAGAAGTGTATTCCAAACCTATAGTGTAATATGAATTTTGCAGGAGTTCTGGATGATTAATGCAATATTTTGAATAATGATAAACCATAGTGTTTTACAGGGTTATAGGAGCTTCATGAGTGAAAGTTTAGCCACAGATATTTGGTGAGCTCTAAGTAAAAGTTTTTTGACAATTAAGCACGTGACTATTTTTTAACTTGCAGAACAAATCATAGGGGATAGCATGTAGATAAAATTCTCCAAAGCTTGCACATTTCAGCTGATGTCTCTGAAGCAAATATTCATCCTATGCACATTACAAATCAGAATTGCTTCATTGTTCTGAAGATGGGCACTTGAATTACATATAGCCCAGGCTTTGCCACAGTATTTTGCTATTTTTAAAATTATCTTAATTTATGTTATATTCATATTCGCATTCACTATGTTACCTAAAGGAAACCAAAAGCACTAAGGACTGGATACCTAGGAGAGTTCTTGGTAGAAAATAAAACCTCAAATATATTGTTCAAGTGTGTTACAAATTTTCAGACTGCGAACTGACTCACAAACTTCCTGGTTTACATGAAATTAGTGAGAGATTTCACTTCATTGGGCTGATGGCTTTTTAATTTTTCTAAATGTCTACAGAAAGGTTAAAATTAAATTGGATGGGAGTGGTCTATTGTGTCTACATTTAATTGCTTCTTCCACTTACCATGAAAAACACATTTTTAAAAAAGAGCTCTAGTCAAGGGTGTTTTGTGCTTATTCTTAATTGCAATTTAATCCAAAATTAAGAGAAATTCAGAGTGACGGGGAAGTGGAAGTTACATGACTTTCTGTTAGTACAAGCAAAACCTGAGTTTAATACTGTCACAACTCATTCTTCTAACTCTGTAAGTAGACAAGGGTCCTAGCAAGTGAAATAAGAACTGCACTTTAGCCCAGCTGAGATAACTGTATTTCTTGCTGATATATTTCTTTCCTAGTGTGTGGTGGTCATTATATTTCCTGGAATGGGACTCTGAGTTCCCCTTATTACCCAAGTTACTACCCACCAAACATTGACTGCAGCTGGATCATCAGAGTAAGTGCTGGGAAGTTTTCTGCGTCGTGATGACTTTGCTTAATGTGATACAGACATAAAATTGGGAGAAATGGCTTACAATGTGGATGAAATGAAAGGGAAACATACTAAGACCACTGCACCTGACTTCTCAGGCACCCATGACTTTCCTGTTCCATGTAAATGTGTCAGCTGAGGGAAGGAAACATTCCCAGCTCATAAAACGTTAAGCTTTATTCGTGACAGAAACAAAGTGGTGGATGACAACTCCTAGCAGCCAGAGCAAATTGCTAACAGTCAAGGCTTTGCTTCTATGTCAGAAAGAGTATGTATGTTCATTATGTAAATCATGCCTCATATGATGGATACCACGCTGTATTTCCCTGAACTCTGCAGATACAAGACCTTCTCTGACTCAGAAATTCAGCTCTGGATTTCCAGCAAGCCCTTTGGCAGGATTTAGAATCTGCTCATGATTTCCACCAGCTTCCTGGTGTGTTTAGCTGTAGCTCCATGAAGCCTTTCACTGCTTTTTTGATTTATCCCAGAAAATTATGTTCTTTGTGTCTACAGTTGGTAACAGTCTTTACCTTTCACCTGCTCAATGAAAATTATTAGCAACTTGTAGCTCAAGACTCTCACCTGTATGCAAGAAAGGAAAGAAAAAAGCTTTCTAAACAGAGAGGTCATAGCTAATGCAGTGAGCAGCTACCATAGATGTCTTAAATTAACATAACCCACTGAAATGTGGCAGCACAAACATAGCAACAAGTTCAGATATAGCACTTCGTGCTGGCTGCAGGAAGGCTTACGCTCCTTTATCTGCCACAATATGGCCAAAGTTGGGCCTGAAATGTTTTCTGTACAAGCTTAAAATAGCAATTTTGAGGGTTTTCAAAGGTACTGATTTGCATCATAAAAAGTGAAGTATTTTCAATCTGATAATAAGTAAAAAAATATTTACCGTCTTAGAAGTAAGGACTTTTTCGTTATGTGGATGTACGTGTTGGGTTATTTATCCTTTTATTTTTAGGCACCTTTGCCTGGCTACAAGCTCTCATTAAAAATCCTTGTAATACAAATTCAAGAGAAGTCTCCAGGGTCCAGTAAATGTGATAAAGACTGGTTAGAAATTGATGGGGTTAGGTGAGTAAATACACTATTTTCTGAGGTATTAATTTGCACTTTGATGTTCTGTGCAACACGTTATGCTTAAGAAAAAAGTGTTTTGCCACTTTCAGTGCAGAAAGATACATTTCAACAAGAATTGGCATGCTTCCACTGAATTTCGGTAGAATAATGTTCTTAATCCTGCCCTAGTACTGAACACTTGTCATTATGCTGATTTAAGCATCCTGCTTTTTCTAGTGTTAGGCATTTACTTACTTTGTTGTTCCCCTTAGAGCAATGATATAGAAAACTAAAGGATTTTATGCAGCTGCAGCTGAACTGTAAATTCCTGGCAATGGTCCTGACATTGATGAAGAGCTTGAGTCATCTGAAGTTTCATTTTCTATACCACTTACTCTTCAGTGATTATAATTGTTTTCTGTAAATAAGACAAATTGAAATGTGTGTGCTTAAAATTACAAAACTAAACAGGATGATTTGTCTCTTGGAAGGAGCATATTGAAACCAGCAACAGCTGTTGGATTTGCCTGTATGATTCCATTACTGGATTTGTAGCCTTTTGGGTTTGCAAACCCAAATGGGAAATCTGAAATCCAGCGTGCTTAGAAGCAGTTGGTATGTGTAAGGTAGATTCTGACATTGATCATCTTGCTGTATTTTGTTTCAAAGTCTGCTACTCCTGGAGAAGTTGTGGAGTGGAAGGCATTTGTAAATAGGCTTTCTAATACTTCTGTTGAGCTGTTTTAACACTAAAATAATAGCTGAGCTTTATTGTGTTGTTCTGAAGTTTTTTGGCATTGATACTTTTCAGTAAAAGGAGAGGTAGCTGGTGGTCATTCTGGTTAGAAATTAATTGTTCCTACTTTTGCCTTGCTAGATACTGTAAAGCTCTTTCAGAAAACAACAGGAACAGAGAATATGGCTATTCTGTCGCAATCAACTTCCATTCCGATGAACTGGTCACCCACAGAGGGTTTTATATAGAATACAAAGCCTTCAGTCACACAGACCGTAAGTGAATAAGCAAGTACTTTGATTTTTAAGGAGAAACCTTTGAGAAACCATGCTTGACAAACCAACCACAAGCAAACCGCCCTGCTTTTTTTCTTCACCTAATTGCAAGAGAGGAATATTTTAAAGGTTATTATGTATTTAATGGAACAAACAGATGTACAAAATTAGTTAAAAGATGCTCTTAGAAGCTAGTACTTATTTTCTAACTTTTAACAATGCTTTTATAAAATGGGAAGTAAAAGTAAAATTTTCCAATATCCGTAGTCCTAATTATTTGGCATTTTGCCAACCTCTTAAGATAGCCAAGCTGCAACACGAAAATAGTGTGGCAGAAAGCCTCTAAGCGTGACTCTTCTGCCAACAGGAGTTAACCATGAATAGTCAGTCTTCTCTCTAAAATCTCAGTTCAACGTGCTCTGGATCAGCTGCCATGTTTAGACAAACTATTTCCATATTCACTGAGTCAATGAGGACCCCTTGCTAGCAGGTGTTGCAGAAACATGATTGGGTTTCTTATAACCCTTTCCTGACTCTTCAGTCTATGCACTTCTGGATCAGTGTTAGATTCAGGGGGGGGGGGGGGGGGGGTGGGGCTTCCAGAGGGTAGAACAGGGTTTTTCAGTAGATGATAGACATGTTTACTTGTGATATTTCTTTAAAAAGATACATCTGCAATATATGCTTTGTAAATGCCTTCTCTTCCTTTACCCAATTAACATCTAGGTAACTAAAGTTCTCTGTGATTTCTAGAGATCAGTTCAGGTTGTGGAACCTCTTCAGATCCTCAGCTTGCTTGACTGAGTGTAGTTCTGTTTGTTGCTGACTTAGAAGTGTTTATGTATTAAGATCTCTGATACAGATTATTGCTTCGTGCTTTTCATTAGAAATAAGTGGCAGATTTTGTGGTCAGTCATTCTATAGCAACTCAGATATTTTCAGGGATTTCTTTTTCCACCAATGTGTGTCTCTTTCTACTGGAAAAAGTTACAAACTATGCTGTGTCCTATGGTTACTCAGGTTAGTGCCTCAAAACTGGTTCAGAAATGAGTCAAAGCCTAATAACACCTTTTTCTACAGTGAAAATCCCCAGTCTTTATTGCGTGTACAGGTCTTTACTTTCTGTGTGCTCTGCTCCATTTCCAGCACGGAACCAGCAAGCAGATGGCTCAAAGTCATGTAATCAATCCTTAGGCACAATGTTAAGGATCTGTATTAAGACTCACCAGGATGGGTAGATCAGCTGTGACGTGTCAGTATCAAGTCGATAGAGTAAAGGCATTTGTGGAGGGCTATCTGAGACAGCGGAATGTATGGAGAACACTGATCTTCCCATGACAGCCTTGTCTGTAGCAATAGCAGGAGGGAGGAGGAAGAAATAAAATTCATTTTCTCCCACATCTTTAGTACCTGCAGTCACCCACCTCCAATTAGCTTCTTCCCATTGTTGGGAGCCTACCAAAGCACGGTTATTAAAAATCACAGGCACTGTTCTGAGTTGACCTGGAAATAAAATGCCAGCCATCAGCTGAATAACTTCAGGAAACGGTGGAGAGAGCATAGAGAGACTCCTGCTTTGAGTTAGTGCTGGCTGTGTAGCGTGCGTTTTTCTTCCCACACACATCACGTGCAAGGCAGTGATGAGGACTAAATGACTCCAAATTGGAATTGATTAAATAAATGTGGGATAAATATGTTTAATCCTTTAATCTGATCAGGTCTTTTTTTCTTTTTTCTTTTTTTTCTTTTCTTTCCTTTTTTTTCTTTTTTCTTTTTTTCTTTTTTTCGTTTTTCTTTTTTCTTTTTTCTTTTTTTTTTGCTATTTTCTTTTTTCTATTTCCTTTTTTCTATTTTCTATTTCCTTTTTTCTTTTTTCTTTTTTCTTTTTCCTTTTTTCTTTTTTCTTTTTTCTTTTTCCTTTTTTCTTTTTTCTTTTTTCTTTTTCCTTTTTTCTTTTTTCTTTTTTCTTTTTCCTTTTTTCTTTTTTCTTTTTTCTTTTTCCTTTTTTCTTTTTTCTTTTTTCTTTTTCCTTTTTTCTTTTTTCTTTTTTCTTTTTCCTTTTTTCTTTTTTCTTTTTTCTTTTTCCTTTTTTCTTTTTTCTTTTTCTTT